GCCTATGCGTTCGACATCCATCTAAATGCCTACTTCCCTTGCATCGTGGTCCTACGTGTCCTTCAACTCCCATTCCTCTTTCGTAAGTGTCTCCTATTCCTCTTGAACAACCTCGCTTTATCGTCATTTTATCATTAATCACAAGAGTTTAGGTGCACATCCTTTTTCAAAGAGGCCTCAGACTCCTTTACTCAAACTTGCTGATATGGCCTCTGTGACCAGTAATTTCAAACGCGCAAATTGATCCTAAATTAATGGTGTTTGCCATTATTAAAGTCACCATTATTGTCGTAAGTATAAGACTTTAGGTCGGCAAGAAAATTCTGACTTAGACCGGTGGTTCATGCAACATCTGTGTCTGCAGCGATATTTTGAATAGGGAACCAGGCGGAGTAATAGGCCTAAATATCAAGGAAGTACCGCGTCTAACAGTGTTGTTTAAAATTCTACATAAATTAAACCGGTCGGAATTATATTCAATCGTCCAAGTAATACTGGATCTTCTGGTCATCGCCATCTATTTCTGTCTGGCACTTTAAAACCTTAATTCTGTAGGTGGTTTCTGGAGGTGCAAAGTTTATCGTCATGTGGGAGAAAGCTCTTTGAATGTCTGTGGTAAACAACATTAATTTTGTCTTTGGTTCGCGAAGGACCGAACTTCATCGTCCGCCACGGCGCGTCTTAGATACGAGCCTTTTTATCATACAGAAACTCAAAGCCAAGCATCCTAGTGACATTTGAAGTGCCACATCTATCGTAGAAACGCCAGATTGCTATTTAGGTTCCTCGCAGCGTCCGTCATGTCTACTGGTTTTGCCCCATTCTGGACGAACATCATCATTAGTGAGAGCCCTTTACGATCCTTAGGAATTGAAATTTTCCTCAATTGACATTTATAAAGTTTTACACCAAAACCACCATCAGGTTAGAGTGACGCCGATAAGATGGCCAATATTGGTTTGCCTTCTGTACCTGTCTTGGGACAATCAAAAGACTTATTCAAAATTTCCGACCAAGATTTGGCATCGCTATCTTTGTGACGCTTTTACACCCACTAAATAAACTAGGTTAAACAATGTCTCCAGAGTTTAGCTATCGTGTTCCCCGCAGTACGGTTTACTAGAAATGGGACGTATGTTGTTTGCGCACAGAAACTTGGTGATGGAAATTGTTATGACCCGCCTGGTACGTAAAATTCCGTGGAGCGTATACTCACTCTACCCTGGTTCCCAATATCAAGGCAGCAGACAAGAACACACGGCTGACCACAGAAAGTGTATTAGGAACACACTGCAAGTCACGTCTAGCTAAGGGTGACGCATATTTATCACACGCCGACATTCGGTCCAATGACCTTCGGGAAGAGGGGGGTGGCCAATAGGAAAGCGCCTGATTGAGATGACAGCGCTGTAGAGAGAGAGCAAACGCACGTGATCTCCATTGATTGGTTTGCTCTTGTTTTTGGGGGTGTAGGCACTCCCAACACCTCCCCTCCAAGTGGGTCAGTACCGCTTTTGGCGTGGATTGATCTGTATCGGCAGTGCTGATCGGCGCACGCGGTTGGTCCGGCGTCTTAGTTGTGGTTTGTTGTCTGGAGACCCGGGAGCAGTGACTGATACCGAAGACGGTACATCCGAAGGAGGCGCAGCAGTGGGCTCGCGGACCGACCGATCTGCCGGAATGGCGAAGGTATCCAGTAGGATGTCAAGAGAGAGTGACGGCGCCGAATTGAGCCCAGTCGTGCTACTGCAATGTCGCCGTCGGATCTGGTTGTGGTGGCGAACCCAGATGTCATCACCAACGTCGACGTCAAACAACATACTGCCTCTGTGCGATACTACGGTTGCTTCAATCCAGTCTGGGAACCCCGCTCGATAATCACGAACGAAGACAGGTGTTCCGATGGAGAGCTTGCTGCGAGAAACTGGAGAAGTCTGCGCGGGCTGCGCACCGGTAGGGACGAGGGCATGAAACGTTGTACGCAGTTTTCGGCCCATCAACGCTTCGGCAGGAGAAACGCCACCAGGGGACGCCGGGTTCGGTGTTGTCCTGTAGGAAAACAGGAATGCCTGGACTATCTCGTCCGTGGTCCCCTCCCCACGAGCTTTCAAGAGGGCTCCCTTAAACGTGTCGACAAAACGCTCCGCCTGACCGTTAGACTGAGGATGGTAGGGCGGGGAGCGAAGATTCTGGATGTTGTGCTGGCGGCAGAAATCCTCAAATGTCGACGAAGTAAACTGAGAGCCGTTGTCTGAAACCAGGACTTCCGGTAAGCCATGTTGGCTAAAGATGCGTCGTAGGAAGGCGATAGTGGCAGATGTGGTCGCTGGATTCAGCGGAGCAATCTCGGGCCACTTCGAGTAGGCGTCAACCAAGATTAGGTAGGAGACTCCGTTAAGTGAGCCAGCGAAGTCGATATGCACGCGTGACCAAGGCCTCCGGTGGTTGCCAGGGTATTGGAGGTTGACGAGGCGGCATCTTGGCAGCTTACTGACATCGAGAACAGCGTCGAACCAGGTCGTCGATGTCGCCGTCGATACCCGGTCAGTAGGCAAAACTGCGAGCAATAGACTTCATCCGGCTGGTACCAGGATGAGCCGCATGGAACTGGCGTAGTACAGTGGGTCGGAGGGAAGATGGGATTACCACACGGTCCGCAAACATGAGGCAGGAGTCAACCACAGATAGCGATGCTCGGCGGAGGAAGAGCTGGCGAAGATCGCCAGCGAGAGCAGTGGTCGGCCAGCAGGTCTGCACGTAGGTGATGGCCTGACGGAGGACAAGATCCTGTTCAGTAGCATGTCGGATGTCCGCGGCAGTGACAGGGATACCTCGTATGGCGTCTGATAGCTGACGGCGCACATCGTCCTCAATCGAAATAGCTGCAATCACGGTATCTTCCTCCGGTTCCTGCTGATTGCTGATGAGGCGAGAAAGGGCGTCAGCCTGACCAAAGTCTGTAGTACGACAGTAGCGAATGTCGAAATCGTAGCCAAGAAGGATGGTTGCCCATCGCTGAAGTCGGCTGGCTGAGTAGACGGGAATGCCCTTCTTCGAACCGAAGATTGACAGCAATGGTTTGTGATCCCTCAACGTGAAGTGGCGACCGTACACCAGTTTGTGAAATTTCTTGACGGCAAACACGAGGGCTAGAGCCTCTTTCTCTATTTGCCCATAGTTCTTCTCCGCAGGGGTTAGCGTGCGAGATGCATGCATGATCGCCTTTTCAGACCCATCAGGAAAAGTATGTGAGATGACGGCACCAACTCCGTGGTTGGAAGCATCTGCAGCAACAACGATCGGCAGCGTCGGGTCGTAGTGCGTGAGCAGCAGATCTGAACTCAGCATCGACTTTAGCTGGGCGAAGGCCTTTTCACAGTCGGGGGACCAGCACCAGGGAGCATCCTTCTGCAACAGACGGTTGAGCGGGGCCCGTACGTCATGCAGTGATGGTAGGAAAGCACTATAGTAGCTGATCAGGCCAAGAAACGAACGAAGTTGCGATACATTCTTGGGGGCAGGCATCCGTTGGATGGCCCGAATGTTTTCAGGATCTGGATGGCGACCAGTGACGTCAAAAAAGAATCCAAGGTACTTGATTGAGTCGAGGAAGAATTGGCACTTGTCGGCCCGTAGGCGAAAGCCATATTCCTGCACGCGTTCGAGTACTGCGCACACTCGGTCTTGCAGCTCAGCAGGGGAGCGACCCACGATGATGATGTCGTCCAGGTACCCAGCCGTGCCAGGGATGCCGGAGAGCATTGCGTTCATCGTTTGTTGGAGTAGGGCCGGGGCGGTCTTGATACCAAACGGCAGCATGGTGTATTGGAACAGACCGCGGTGGGTGTTGATGGTCAACAATTCGCGCGACTCTGGGGCGACCTCGATCTGCAGATACGCATAAGCAAGATCCAACTTGGCAAAGCAAGTGCCACCATTTAGCAGGGTGAAAAGATCAGCCGGAACGGGCAGTGGATAGCAGTTCGGCGTCAGCGCGGCATTGAGACCGGTGGAGAAGTCAGCACAAATGCGAATCGAGCCATTGGGCTTCTTAACCACAACGATTGGAGCGGCCCAGGCGGAGTAGGATACAGGAACCAGAACTCCCAGTTCCTCTAGACGTTTCAGTTCAGCCTCGACAAGTGGTAGGGCTGCATATGGGACTGGTCGCTTTGGACGGAAGACTGGTTGACTTCCAGGAGACAGATGCAGCACGGCTTGAGTGTATGTGCAACGACCCAGGCCGTCTTGGAACACTGGAGCAAACCGTTGGAAAATGTCCTTGGCTTGGTCTGTAAGCACAGCGGGAATCTGCACCTGACTGCAAACAACGCGGAGCGGCATATCGGCCAATCCAAGTTGTTCAATCCAGTCGAGGCCAAGTAGGTTTAGATCAGACTTTGTGATGTAGCAGATCGCAGTGATGCTGGTACCGCGGAACGACACACAGCATTGCAGCTGCCCAATTAGCTGTACGAGACCACCGCACGCGCTTGTGGCGGACTGGGAAGTCTGCTGCATCGTGGGACTGCCAAGAGACTGCCAGAGTCTCTCAGAGATGATGGTGATATCTGAGGCAGTGTCCAACTGTAGACGAACTGCATGGCCGTTGAGCAAAACGTCAACAAACTTTCTACGACCAGACGCATTGAGCTGGCAATCGGCCAAGAGACTGAAAGAATTACCCACGGACTGGGGTTTGGGCTTGCATTTTGGCCGGAAACGTTGCCTGGAATTAGGAGTGGCGGGGGCTGGCTTGCCTCCAGAAGCTGGTACTGATTTGCAGAATCCATCACGGCGTCCCACCTGATTACAGCTTTGGCAGCGATGCTGGCGGAAAGTGCAATCCCGGTGGAAATGCCACGCGCCACAGTGCCGACAAGGAGATAGCGGAGATCTCGACTTGGACACTTGCTTGGGCCGTGTAAAAGGATGCGATTTGGTCGATGTGACCGTATGGACTGAGAAAGATGAGGCCGGGTTCTGAATCATTGCAGAGTCGTGCTTGAGATTGATCAGCGTTTGGCCTCTGCTGCCAACTCTTGGAGTGTGGTAGAGTTGTTCTGCTGCACTTTGGACAGGAGACCTGTCCGGATATCAGCATCCTTGGGGGACTGGAGGCCGCAGATAAATATAAGGCATTTAAACTGGTCTTCAGTGAGAGAACTGAGTTGGAAACGCCCACACTCACGATTAACAATGCCCGCATAAGTGATGAAGTCATCGGAATCTCGTTTGCACATTTGCAGGCACTGAAATCGAGAGTCGAAAAGGGATGATTTTTCACCAAAAATCTGCGACAACGTCTGAACCGTGTCCTTGAAAGTGACTTATCGGGGATTCTTGGGGAGGATGAAGTTGGCATAACGCTCGTGTTCAGCCGGACCCAGTTTGCGAAGTAGAAGTCGGACCTTCCATGCACCGTCCTGGGCAGCCAGATCGACAGAGAACAAGTCCTCGTATCGCTTGTACCAGGAATCAAAGGTGATATGGGCCTGCGGGTCATACAAGAATTCAGTGATGTTGCCAAAAATGTGATCAACAGATTGCGAACCACCTGCCGTGCTTGATTTACCCATGGACGAGTCGGACAGCTTAACGGTGAGTGCCTCCATCAGCTTCAGCTGCTGCAGCAACATCTGCTTCAAGTCTGCGTACTCGTCAGCCATTGTAGTTGAAAAACTGCGTCGCCAATTTGTTATGATCCGCCTGGTACGTAAAATTCCGTGGAGCGTATACTCACTCGACCCTGGTCCTCAATATCAAGGCAGCAGACAAGAACACACGGCTGATCACAGAAAGTGTATTAGGAACACACTGCAAGTCACGTCTAGCTAAGGGTGACGCATATTTATCACACGCTAGCGTGGTTCGCCGGCATTCGGTCCAATGACCTTCGGGAAGAGGGGAGTAGCCAATGGGAAAGCGCCTGATTGAGATGACAGCGCTGTAGAGAGAGAGAGCAAACGCACGTGATCTCCATTGATTGGCTTGCTCTTGTTTTTGGGAGTGTAGGCACTCCCAAAAGAAATCCTACAAGAAGCGTTTATTGAAGAAGTTCTGGTGCTGAGACCATTGTTATTGAAAGAGCAAACATCCTCCAGTTGCAAGAAGCCAAGTTGTAACGCTGTTGCCGCGGTTTTCGGCATTGTAACAGGGAAAATTTCCTCAAGAGCAGTGTGGTGTACCTAAGACGGGTAACTCGTAAACTTTTTAAATAAACGACCTATGGCGCCACACACGGCTAACAATATCTACTGTAAATAACGAAGGTTCTTCGTGAAAATTTCACGCTGCCTTCTATTAAAGAAACCTCGAAAATCATGTTATTTACGTCACCCAGAAGCTGATGTCTCTCTTTCACGCTACATTGTCACGAAAAGACGGTCAACTTCCGAACAACCACTAGAATTACGTTATCTACCGCACTGCATACGATGGCCATAAATACCAACGTAATGGGATTCGTATTAATGAACGTAAGCGACCGGTTCTTCGACGTAACCCTCTTTCCCCTAGTTTTTTGCGCGTGCAACTACCTATTCGTCTAGGATTTCGACGAGGCCATTGCCACGACCAGCACAAAGTAATTACGGAAATTTCTGAAGACCCAGTAACAAAACACAGACAGTACTAACCGTCGTGTGGGTCTTTATGCGCACTACGGAGGCCTGCAGACACAACCCACTGATCTTTCGCGTTCCACCGAGAACACTAGTAACAATTCCGTCACTGGTTCCCTGGAATCCCGGAGAGCGAATCAGGTAGATCAAATCGACTAAATTTTACAATCGGGAAAGGATATTTTTCGGTTTGAAAAAAATTGTTATTATAAGATTTTCTAGGGCCACGAAATATCCATTGTGATATCCTGTATAGTATCTTTTTAATGGCATAGAGGACTAATAAACCTAAAATGACTATTCCAGCCTCTCTTGTCTTTGTCGGTAGTCTCCCATCTGTATTGGTATTCGATGTACGACTCCCTGCGATACTCTAGATTGAGTAACAAAGCGCAGTAGGACGAGCATGTCCCGTAACCCGTTCAGTGAACGCACTTATAGAGATGGCCCTACCGTCTCCGTCCATCTCAACGCGTGGGGTCAGCACTTTTTCCTATGTCTTCATATATATAATAAACCGGAAATCGCCATTTCGGTCTCCCTTGTCCTTGTCGGTACCACCTTATCTACCTATAACACTGGCTGCTATGCGACTGCCTGTGAATACTCTGGTTTGAGCCTTAAGACACAACGCGACGAGCACGTTCCGTAACGTGATCGGTGAGCGTTCATCTATTATAATATAATTACATATTGCTGATGGAAGCGAGGATGCGCGTTCCCGAACATAAATGAGAGGAAGAGGCGATCTCGGGAGCCTTAGTTATATTGCCCTGACGTTTCAAAAGCAAACAAGCTTTCATTGTCGGAGGTGAGTGTTGTACCATGCCTCACAGTATTTATAGGTGGTGATGGTCTCCTTTCAACGGGTTTACCTCTCGTCGGGGACCGGCGTTCGGGCGCTAGCCGTCATCGCACGTGTTCGCATGGACTTTAGTTCTCATTCTAGGCTGGCAATCTTCTTTACGACCCCATAGATGGGCGCTCACCGATCAGGTTACGGAACATGCTTGTCCCATAATTAATATCCCCGATCAAAACCGACATGACAACGAGCCCGTGGCTCATTGGTAGTGTTCGACTCGACGACCAAAGATCCCGGGTTCGAATCTCAGGTGCTGGTGGACTGGCTAATGACTACTAATAAGCCAGAAATGGCCATTCTGGTCAGCCGTTTCTTTGTTGGTATCACCTTATTTACATATAAATAACCCAGCTTCGAACCTTGGGTATTCCAGCCTGGAGTTTAGCTATGCATGTCTGACTGCAGCAGATAAGTCAGAAGTAAACGTTTTAGTCTCCCGCGTCTTGACAACTGGCGGTGTATGAAGATCGGAAAAATTGAGAACGTTTGCGTAACTTAGCTAGTAGATAAGTTTCTAGTGAGTTTTTTTGAGAAAAACTTTCCTTGTAAGCTAACGTTGCATCGCCCATTACGTAATTCGAGGCCATGTACGCCTACCGTTCTTACGGACCTATTCAGTTAGTGTTTGCTACTTAGGTTTAACTTCAAGGTTTTACGTGCTCAATCTCAGACTTATGGCGCCACCTACTAGTAGATTTAAAGACACTTACTATTATCTCTCAACTAGAGGTGCTTGTTGCAGAGAAGAACATGTGATAATCGGAACGACAGTTGTACTGGCGTCATCTTCCAGCCCATCTTCAGCTATCCCCTGAAGCCGTGCTTACATGCTTTCTACTTATTTGGCTACAGTAGCTTTAAATAATTAGATTTAGTGGGGCGTGCGGAGTTGACGAACATTTTTGTTTGGCACAAGTGGTCAACCCGCCCAAGGATGGCAGACTTTTTTGTGGTTCTCACTTTCGCCCTAGCGACATCCTCTTGTAGCGCGCGCGTCAAAGCACCAGAATTCGTTGACGACACCTTTTTATTGCCACTTTGGCACCATTTCGGGCGAATTGATAATACGCACAGTTATCATCTCGACGAACGACCCTCTGGGTACCGCTTATGGAGACTATATTATCCCACAGTTATTCATACGCACAGACAGGTTGAGAGAGTAGGCATACAACAAGTAATTAGGCCATTGTTCGGTTGCCATTTTTGGTCGTGCTTTATTGCTCACATCCTCCCACCCCACTTATCGTTTCGATAATCATGATGTTCACTTTTCACAGTCCCGCCGCACACCCTCACCACCTCTTAAGTCAATATTGCGGTTCTTCGTCGCCCTTCATTTTAGTCATACTAGTATGCAGAACCCCCCTAACATTTAACCTCATTGCAGACAACGGTCTCAACCACCAACTTGTCCCAGGTCTCTGAGCCTTGGCTCTATACGGCGGTAGCGGTTACCTGCTACGTCCGCTCTTACGTCTGAGTATTCTTTTACTGAACAAAGGGAGCAAAAATGTGTCAGGTTGTAATTCGGCTTGCCGTGTGGTGACAGAGATTGGACCGTGTAACATCCGTATCCTCCTATTTCAATTTCGACGCGTACTCGTCCAACCCCTACTTCCTGTTACACAGGCCGCTACAATTGTCACTGGCATTCCGTTATTACTAATTCTAATCATACCAGTGACTTTCCAATGGCATGGTTTTCGTGTAAAGAATAAAATCACGAAGTTGCCCCGGATGGTAGTTGGGCTTGCCACATCGTGCTGCAGGTCTCGACGCGGCCCACCCCATCGACTTCTCGTACGTAGTTGCATTTCAACATGTCCCAGTCTTTACTTTCAGTCATATCTGTGGCTTTACCTTATGTTAGCCTCTGGCCTAGGCGCTGCACAATGGCTTCGTCGCTTAATGGCTTTTCTGTGGCGTCTCTGCGGCTCAGTGCGCAATGGCTTAAATGTCGTTCAAGCCGGCACTTACTACCAGCGCATCTTTAGCATGTCCTTCTTAGTAATTCCAGTCACACCGTCGACTTTGCTGGCATGGTTTTATGGTATGGCGCGTTAAAAAAACTCGACTTATACATTTAGCACGTCCAGTCGGGCTATGTGTTTGGACGCGAAGCAGTCTATCGTCTTCATCTATTTGATTACACTTCAGCTTACCCATATCTTTACCCTACGTGTGTTTTGGCCGTTCGTTACAGGATATCGCATATGTCCATACGGCGGTAGCAATTAACTACCGTTTCCATGCCTTATCCCATCGGGGTGCCTGTATGCCGGTTTTATTAGTTGTCATCCTACTAATAATTTTCCTCTGGTATGATTTTCTCGGATGGAGGAAGAGAAGACACAGCACAATAGACTGTTCTTCAGTCTGACGTATTTGTGTGCGTATGATTATATTCCCCTTTTTTCCATTTATTACTCCTAGGCTGCGAACTTCTACAATCCCCTACCAGTTATCTGTACACGGTTTTACATTCACGCCACGTTATACGGTCGCGTTTTCCATGTACATAGACGTGCACCCGCAAAATGGGCAAGCTATGTAAGGAAAGACTCGGTTGCGGGTAGCATGTTACGGTACGAATGCGCAGTTATACCTGAAGACTTAACCATGCGAACGCCCTGCTATTGAGCTTGGCTGTTGGGTAGACTTGATCAGTTGACTGAACACATTCAATTCATGATGTGCAGCTGTGGAATTACAGGGCCGTTAGCGCCCCCCCCCCTCGTTGGTTCACTTCCTATCGCGAATCCACCATCTTAGGTCTCTAGTGGTAAATTTAAACGAGGCGGAAACACGACCTTCATCTTTCCGTCTGTCGTTCTACGTTCCATTTTGCAGCTTCTGTTCTCCCCATCAAAATAATCCCCAACGCTACCTTTCCCCCCACTATGAGTGGCCAGGAGAGAAATTTAAGCATTTCTTCTTTGTAGGTCGTCCTGAATGTTTATCCTTCTGATTATAAGCCCACTTTCTCCCTATTCTACCTTATCTCAGTCTTGATCTTCTTCTTTAAGTGATACGACGGAAGTCCCTACTGGCCTGTTTCCTTGGGAACAGCTTCTGGCTGGCTGCTGCGCTTTTCTACATCTACATCACCTTTCTCGGCTACAAAGGTGAGCAAAATCTGACATTGCGTCTTTGTCTGTGAAGGCAATCCCCGGCATCTCAAATTGGGGCCACCTTGCGTCACACTTAAATAGGGACTAATTAGCTCGAAATGTGCTGAGTTTTTGCATTCCTAATTACCGCTACACATGCGCGAGGCATGCGCCAGACTGTTACTCACGCCTCGTCATCCGTGGCTCGTTGTCTCATCCCCAGTCGCCTCAACTCCGACAGGCCATTGGGACATCGAAGAGAGAGGACCAAAGTCGGTAAGATGTGGTTTGGTAGCCCCACCTGCTGGACACAATACTGTTGGGGTTGGGGTTAGAGGTTAGTGTTAGCAGTTTGGGTTTAGGATAAGGGGTTATAGTTAGTTTCTCTGTGGCACCTCCCACTTCCTGAAAGTCTTCGATCCCTCATTGAGGCCCGGCACGTTTCCAGTTCGGGAGGAGGAGGAGGTCGTGTGTGGCACGCTATATAGTCTTCTCAACCGCTGCGCCGATGTCCATTGCTTTTATTGGCCTTGTCTAGTCAGCGGAACACGGTAACGATGGAGGCGAATGTTGCGTAAATTCGCTTCACCGTAATTATCTTCCTGCACAAGTCACTGATGCACCATCCTGTGGACGGTGATGAACCTCGTCGCTTGCGGTAGTCCAGCTGCCCTGCATTGAAGCGATACTGTCTGTTCATGCGGAGTTTAACTCTGTACCTTCAGCTGCTGTGGCACTCCGCGTTGAAAGTATCTCCTTAATGGTCTGAACGCCTTTTTGCTGGTAGGGGCAGGATCCAGACGCTGCCTTATGTCCAGATCGGACCACATTTCGGGAAAAATCCTAGCTGTTGGGGTCTTCGACTAAAAAGGCGCTAATGTTACCACGGGTAAGATAATGCATGATAGGATACTTGTCTCCTCTGTCTGTGGCCTCCTGTCCTATGCTGGTGACCACCGACCCCGACCGAATTCATTCGTCATAAACAACACTGGAGAACCCAGCGTTGATTAGCGTGGGATTTCGATTGTAGCAGGACGAGATGCTCGCAGCAGCTACCTCACGCTTTCCTCTCTCGAACCGCCATAGTTCTGGTAGAAGGACACGACTAGAATGACTGAAAACGGACGTCGATGCGGCGGCTGACGAGTATGAGCTCGCATTCGCGCGTATCACACACGTGCTGGTCCCTGATTCTGTGTGAACCACTCTTCACTGGCGTGAGTGCCACGGTAGAGTCATTGCAACCTGTAGGCATCCTAATCACACACCCTCCATCCCTGGCACACTCCATTAAAAATTACGTGATCACTGCTCTAGGGTAGATGAGCGTGTGCTCGGCCAAATGCGGACGCTATCTCATCAGGTAATCATCCAATCAATCACAAAACTAATGCTCACTGGCGTCCACCTCCCCTGCGCAGAGGCGATTACTCAGGCGGGGAGCCGGCCGCGCCCCAGGTGTTTTGACCACCGTCCGGCTCCTGTACAGAATAAACGCCTCTTATTGGTGCTGCTCTCCTTCTAAATACGACTGAGCCCCGGGATTATCGCGGTTAGGCTATTGCCATTATCCTTGCCGCAACGAACGTGAGGACCAGGTCACCCCGCCGGGTGGCAACCTGACATTTCACGATAGGGGACACCTCGTAATTGCTTAAAAGTGCGTTTAGTTGTTTTTTTTTTGTGACGAAACGTAGTTCCTATCAGCTCCGCTGTCTCTTCCTCCCCAGCGGTAGGCCCACGTTAAGCCATGCTGGAGGTGTGATTGGAAGTACTGGCTGATATGGCGTGAAGTCTACATCTAAATCGCGACTTCGGACACTTAATACATTTGCGGTCACTAACGACGGGGACAAACTGTATTCATTTTATTGCTATTTAATGTTTTATCTCCTTCCAGCTTTGCTACCCATGTAGGCATTCAAGAAGTCAAAGTCATCAAACGCAAATTTCCGGTTATTAATTATCGAACCTTTACTATAATATACGTTACGATATAGCTGCGAAGGATGAAAAACCACCGACGAACAGGGGATGGGGAAAAGGGTTGAGGGATGTGTGGACATGCCAAACAAGGAGGAGGGGTAAATTAGACTAGTTCTGGGGTCAGGGGACAGGGAAGGCGTCAGTGGGACGAGCCTGCAGGATGCGGGCGAGAACGCGTGAGGCCCACCTTGAGACCGGATCGATAAGCGTATCATCTCCGCCTCAGCTGTTACAAGACTCCATCGGCGTAGGAATTTGAAGTATTCTACTGGTACCTAGTAAATGAGTCGAAAGGCTTGACCGACGTCTGCTCAATGGCCTCCGTCAACCAGGTGAGCCACGATGGCGCTGAAGGTGAACTTTACTACGCCTTCTCTGGATCAGTTTGAACGGTGCTCTCTCATCCACTCTTTATGTACGTCAAGTCGCTCAACCACTATTACCTGCCTTACAGGAACGAGTGAAGGCGTAAATATACGGTAGATATGCCATGCCGTGAAATGTTAACTGAAATTCTGAAATATGATCTCGATCTCAAAATATTACTTTAGTAGGGTTGCAATATTAATTACCATGCAGCATAATCCTAAAATATTTTAGTAACGCTAGGATGCCAGTTTTTGGATGACCTTCTTTTCGGCTGTGTGCAAAGACTACAATCTGTAAAAATTATTACTTAGGCGGTATGGACTTTTCCTATTGATTTTCGATGCCCTTGTAAATCCAGGTACGTTGTGTACGTCCATAGTTTCGCAAACTTGACCCCGGACAAACCGTTAGTCGAAGTATTATCATTAGGCCATAAAATCAGTTTCTTACTCAAAAACCGACTGGACGGATGACAGAAAGACAGTTTGAGAATCTGTTGGGCCAGAGGGAAAACCTGGTACCCGCAATGTCAGTTGAGGCTGGGTATTTCAAGTCCACTTCTTGATCTGGGCCCAGATGGCCATTCATCCACGGGCTCGTCGTGGAAGTGTCCTTAGGTCAGGATGCATGACAGAGACCTCGATGTGGGGGGTGCCACTTGCGATGCTGTTCAAGCACAAGGTGGGAAGAAGTATTTATAGGGGGATTCGGTTACATCAGGCGGACACTGCATACAGGACTGTCAAGTCTATTTGGATTTCCGACTGATTTAAGAGCCGTCAGTTTTTGAACCCACTCGTTTAACAGATAAGGCTTTGCATTTCCCTTGTCTGTTCCCAGTCTGCATCCAAACATCTATCCCTCTACCCCCCACTCCTAGCCCTACCCTTTCTGAAGAACACGCGGGCCCTCCTTCTCACCGGCACTGTTTTCATCCTCCTCTATGTGATCTCGGTGACGCTGAACTGGAATCTGACCGCTGGCCTCTACCATTTCTATGCGACCATATAGTGACATGGTCGACGATGCAAACGGTAGCGCCATTACTGGCTGTTATGAACTGGCTGTCACTGTACATACATACTGTTGAATTTCTTCCCCATCTTCCGTATCCGAATTTCACCTAGTCTCCCGCCCTCTATTTGGATAAAATTTCACTTATACTACCTTCCCTCTTGCCCGGAACGTTTTTGGTGGCCCGCTTCTTGAAAATTCCTTCCCAAAGGAAACAGATCCCTGCGGGTGAGCAGTCACAGATCGTGCGATGGGACTATCTTCGGCATTTATGAGCACTAATCTGTCAGGTCAGACACTCACAATCACCAGTGGTTTTGCAGCATGTTTAATGTTGACCGACGCCCGAAAAGGCTTCCCCGTAATCTCAGAACCTTAAGTTTGCGGGCTAGAGGGCGGACAGAGGCATCGGCCAAATTGCTGCAAAAATCATCCCTCGACCAAACGGCCCCACACAACCCCCCTCCAACGAGCTATGACTTGGCCAAGTTCTTTGGATATCCGGGGGGGGACTATGATCCGTAAGTTCTCACTGAAATGACAAGTTTACCGTTCAGCAACAACCCGGATGCTATCCAAAATCCGATGCTATGCGTAAGATAATTATGGCCACACCTCTCCCTTAGCATCGTGCGTATTTTTCGTTACTTATTTTGCTGAGGTGGTCAGGGATATTTGAATACTAGTGACTTCGTGACTGATAGCACAGCGAGACTCAGGATGTGCAGTGTTATTGGATCTGTTAAAGTTGCCGGTCAGATACAGTCAGAGTTAGCGCTGTAATTGGGGTTAGGATTGAGGTTTGGGTTAAAGTCGGGACTAATTGAGGCTGGAGTTTGGTAGCTTTGGCTGGCGTTTAGTGGAGCCGTACCCTACGCCGTCCTTTGTATTGTCATCCAAGCCGTCATACAAACTCAAGTAGGTCTTAGGGTGATTATTTGAAAAAGTGCACACTTAGGGGGTTGGTCTATTGATGTACCCGCACGGTTGGGCCTCGGTGACGCGGATGCAGATGTCGATCGTCGATTATAATGCCCAGGATAACCAACGTTCTCATAGGCTCTCGTCATGCGGTGGTTTCGGAGATTTAAATGTCTAGGCAAACTGTCCTTGCAGGAGGTTTTAATGATTGACTAATCATTTTCGAATATCAAGTCGTTGGTCAACAGGCACATCCCTACTCTGCGCGTGCCACTGCGCGCCGTTATTTTCCATCACAAACTGGGCTGTTATCCTCCAGCCCTACTCCTGCACGCTGTCCATTTTCGAGACCAAGACGCCGTTCGCTAGTTTCGGTTGAAGGGACGTCTCGCACGTCAGTTCCCGAGTAAACCGTGGCTAGGAAGTTCCGGCCGAAGTTTTCATTCATCTAATTCATTTGGATGTAAATAAAAGCATCTCTGCCAAACAACTGTTCGGTTTGAGTGCACCTACGAAGATGGCACGTCAAAAGTTGTCAGCTGGGTGGCGGAAACAATCATGCTAGAGTGCGTAAATTCCCGTCAGTGCGTGGGCCACGACACGTCCAACATTGGTACAAAACAAATAGGGCAAAGTCGTCGACACACTTTTCCTAGGGTAGCTTTGTCAGATTCCGGACTTGTATCTTTACTGCCCCACCCACTGATGATCAATTTTTCCTGCAAAAGTTAATTCTCGGATGGTTCTATTGCCTTGTTCACCTCCCTTCCAGTACTTTTTTAAATCGCCAATACCCTTATCATGCGATTTAGTTGCTGGCCGATAACTACCCATACATGTCATTATCATGGAAATCACTCGCGATGAGTGCAAAGTGTAGGTAAACGTAAAAAATCGTGTCATATTCTACAGCCATTAGTCATAGATGAGGCCAGTCAAACCCGTCCCCTACCTGGCTAATATTCAAAGTTTCAGCCGGTTCTCGAGCGCGCGGTAAACGCAGACATAATTACGATTTGAGACCCACATTAACGGCGGTAAAAGAGAAATCCACGTCGTGGTAGGCGCTATTCTGGTACAGTAGCTGGTCTAACTCATGAAATGTTGTAGTCAGAATTAGAGTGAGAAGTATGTCATGTATTTGGTAGTTTTATTCGTGTTTATTGAAATCACTTGGACGCAGAAAGCCATTTATTGAAGAGGGATTCATTTTAAGTCAGTTTTATCAAAAGGGCCAGATTTAGGCGATTTCGGACCTTTTCGGATATCCAGATAATATCATACGCGGATCAAAACTTCATGTTTATGTGCATAAACGAAGATTAGTACACATAGGAAAAGTACAAATTAAATCCCCTCTGGAAACGGAAAACTCGATCTTGCTTCTAAGAAAATCAGGTGAGGGAGGGTGTGAGTTTTCAAGAAAAGAGGAGTGAATTAAGCTTACAAAATTATTTTTGTTTAAATTTGTAGCGGTTCCTGCCACAAAACATAGTAACGAACTTGTTCGACAGTAGTTTGTCTTACCACACCCAGAACTACTAGGTCCAATCAGATATATATTGAGTACGCGCGACATTCTGCCACTTTTCTGTGTCGAGCTGAGCGACAAAGATGTCCAGACAATGTCTTTCAACAGTCGAATATGGAAGGAGACGGAAATTAGCAGCAGAGGGATTGTCGCGCGAGGCGTTAGCAAGCATTTTCAATTTCAGTAAGGTCACCCTGTTGCGAATAATTGATGATAGAACTGTACCCAGAAATAAGCAGGGTGGCCCATAAAGATCTCTTGTACTTGCTATTAATTTTCATTATTTCTCTCATTTCATGCATCCCCTTCATTAAGCACCCCTGTATTTAGCCTTATTTAAGCCTTATTTAAGGCCAATTTCTAAAATTCTAGTTTTCAGAGGAAATTTATTATTTTTACGTTAACAAATATTAATTTGCAAACCCATTATATCTTCTGTTTAAGAACAGTCATTTCTTCATTGCCGTAAGAATTTGGGGAACGTAGTTTGGTTGAATTTTGCGTTTGGGATTTTCTACTGCATGCCCGTGTCATCTGCATACGATATGGCAGAGGGGTTGGAACTGGGCAAGGGGACAAAAGATGGCAAGACATTGATGCATGTGATTATAAGTGGCACCAGTAGGCACTAAAACCCTTTATGTTCCAATGGTCAGGGAGATGTGCCGAGGTAAAATAGGCGAAGACTGAGGGTTCCAAAATCGGAACGCAGAGGAGATAAATAGTTGGAAATTGCTTTTACTGAGACGGAAATCACACAGGAAGCTCGGTAGGTAGGAACAGGTAGCTATTTCACCAGACAAGTGTAGGCCGAAATGTAGGCTACCGAATTTTGTCCGGCCGGGGTCAACCGGCGAATAGACAAATACCGATTGGCGTCACGGCGTTGCATGCTGGAGTTTGGGTCACGCCCGTTAGGCAGATCGGAGACGGCATGTGCAAGCGGCGACGCTGACGAGCGGGAAAGCGGGTATCTCCATACGTGGGACAACTAATCAAAGATGGTAATTTTGACGCGTTCGGCAGATTTCGCAGTGTGGCACTATTCAATTCACACTTCGGAATGATATTTTCGTCGCAAATATAGTTAAAGTCGTAACCCTGGTTGCTGAGATGGTAAATCACAACCCTACTAGTACAAATACGAAGTCTGGAAAGGGAAACATAATTTAAGCCAAACGCCTGTGTCAAACAGTTGCTGTAACAGGCATGCCGTAGGACCCGGAGGTATGCTGAAAATGTAAAAAAATATGGAAGTAGGCAACCTTACTCCAAACGCTCCATACAAGATTTGGTCTTTTGCATTTCCTTAGCATTCGTATATCAAATGGATAAAACAGTGACGGTAACAGACATATGCGAGGAAAAACGGAAGATATAGTCTTAGCGTACGTTCAGAAGGCCAAAGATGAAGATATAAAGTCGGCTTCAGCCGTGTTTCCCAGGTTCCGAATAGTCTATCCTAGAGTGTCACACGAATTGTTCAATAACTTTCCACCACGTCGACTCACTTAGGAAGCCACAACTCCAACTAAAAAAACAGCACAGTGCTTCCCTAGCACGCTTTACGACTTCCGTGTTCTGTGTCATTGAGTCATTTGACTAGCTGCAAGATTATTCCCATATTTGGGCGCAACGAACTTCGTCGAAGAAGAAAAAATGCAAACTCGACGTCCAAGAAACAAATCGCGGTTCGTTTAAGCGGGCTGATGAGGCGTGCGAAAGGTACCCGCCGAACGTATGTCAGATAACAGTTAATAGTATTCATATTGGTCCAACTGGGAAAAACTCGGAGCCTCGGTGGGTTTCGAAACCACGCAGTAAGTTGAAGGCTTTAGTACAGCCAACGCTCTAACCACTTGAACTACGAGGCCCTGCCGGACGAAGCGAGTTTAATTACATGTGGTATGTTTGAAAACTATAGTCAGTCAGTCAGTCAGTGTATTTGAGGGAAATAGGCTTACGCCTTTGAACTCCCTATTTGTACATAAAAAATCGATAAACAAGCAAAAATGTGAAGAAATTACAGCATTAAGTGAATGCATACATTGATTCACATATGTCACTAGTCACATAGTTAAAAAGTCACATAGTCCGCTTGTTGCTTCAGCATATATCTGTCAAGGCGACATTTAAATGTCTCCACAGATTGAGACATAACAACCGTCTCGGGCAGGTTATTCCACGGTTCCACAACACGGTTGGAGAAGAAATATTTTCTCACATTCAGTCTACCCTGTGGCACACGTAGCTTGAAGGGATGTCCCCGGAGGTGAGTTGTGGTGGCGAGTTGGAAAAAGTCATCGCACCGAAGGGCACAATCCAAGCCGCGCACGATACGGAAAGTTTGTATCATGTCTCCGCGTAACTGCCTATAATCCAGAGGATAGAGATTAAGGTTAGTTAAGCGGATCTCGTGTGGCAGTGCACTTTGGCCTCTTATTAATTTTGTTGCTCGTCTCTGCACCCTTTCGAGCAGATCGTAATCCTGGTGCGTCCACGGTCTCCAGGCCTGAATTGCATATTCGAGATGGGGCCTTATAAA